TTTTGTATTATGATATATCTTGCGTTACTTGAATACATAATTTTAATTTATATAGATTACAGTACATCTCATAAAAATAACCTTTAAATAATAACTGACAATGTTTTATTATTATAGGCTTATGCTATTCTAATGGAAGCATCGATTGATCTATCAACCAACCAAACGCTGACCGATCGACCGAATAATAGTTAAATGACAAACTTAATTAATATGAAAAGATAATTTTATATTTTAAAAAATGAAAGAATTTATCACGTCATTAAATAACTTACATTTGACAAGGAGAGGATCCGTGTAGAGCAAAGGTGTTTTCTTTGATCACGTTTAAGTTGTTTTCTCGAATCTCACTATATTAACATATAAATTGAGATATAAGGATTAAAAGATTTTAATATATAAAAGGATAAATAGTAATAACTATAACAATAGGCCTCGTTTCCCCATTATTATTTGAATAAAATATTTTAACAAACACATTTATCGTAAGAATGATGAAAGATGAATTTGTGTCACGGGAGGGCTTATGCTTGACAATTTGTAGAGGTGCTATAATTTGTTTTGGTTAGCGGGGCAATTTTAATAGTCTGCATTAGACATGTGTATTCTCTCTTTGCATTGCGTATAAAACCATGCAAGATCTCATTACATTTTTTCGCCGTCCTCACCTGCTTCCTCCGTGTTCATGAGTTCACTATGTTTAGCGAGTGCACCCAGATTGCTTGTAACTAATTAGTTTTTTTGGTACATAGATTATGTCCGCCCACTTTTTAAAGTAGAGGGTACATCATATCAATTATCTCTCCCCCGCCCCCCTTATCCTCTTTTCACCAATTTTCTAAAGTTAAACCCCAATTTTCAAAGCGAGTGGAAAGAAGAAGAACAATTACGAATGGCTGTCGTGAATTGTGTCTGTTCATTTGTTCCCTGTTGTTTACAGCTGGCCATATTTTGGGATGAAATCCGTGTAAAAAACGCAATTGTTTGTACTCTTCGTATCTCTGCAGTAACCACTCAATCGATTTTATGGGTGCAAACGGTTATTACAGACTCAATATATTGTGAAACCAATGTACACTTGGAAGTGAGTAAACCTATTAGGCCAACATTTTTACAAACTCGAAAGCACAATTTCAACTGTAAACAAGTTATTCCTTTTTTATATTATTAAGACCCGTACTAGTGTTTAATATTATCTGCATACATGCACTCCGTTTTTTCATAATTTCAAAATATTCTAATTAATCAATTGAATTTTATATAGTCGTTATTAAACAATTATACTGCCGATGACACTTTATGTTTGTGAAATAAAAATGCTAACTAATGTTTTATGTTAGTCCTGTTTGATCGGAAATTAAACGGTAGCATATCAACTCACAATATCAAAGTTGTGTACTGTAGTCGCAATACAAAAGGAGGAGAAAAAGAAAACCTCTTGATTTATTTCACAAGTACACACGCATAGAAACTAGATTAGAGTGACTGTTTTGAGTTTATTTTATTTGTTTTTAAGGCTCGAATGCGTCACAAGCTAATTGTAGATAATAATTCAATAATTTTATGAATGTTAGTTTGCACAACATATATAAGCGGGCCTATGATTATGATTTCTTCTGGGATAAATTGAAACACTTTTTATGATGAATATTTCAGTAGCAGATTCAAGGAGGCTCCACCAGGCCCCTCCATCAATTTTTAAAAACGTGGAGAAAATAAAGAAAATTATATTCAAATTTAAGTCTGAGAGTGCTATTTCCGACCAAATAGAGGTGCCACAATCACAAATTCCATCACCCACCATCTGTGAAAGTTCTTCCCTGGGCCCCCTCTATTTCGAATTTATGGATCCACCAAGTATACGTATATTGAAAATGTAGTGTGGAAATAAATGTTAATTGCATTACTTAAAATGTATATTGAAAATGTAGTGTGGAAACGTTAATTGCATTACTTAAAATCAATTAGACTAGCATATATACCCGTTCTCAGTACGGTGTTGAAATAGTGGGGAAAGGTGGCAATGTACTGTTGAATGTTAGGAGGCAATCGTTGAGGAGGCAATCGTTGTGGATGTCATTATTTTTCTAAAGGACGTCTTTGTATTTAATGCTTTAAGTGTCTCTGCTGAATAGAATTTTTCAAAGGCGGGGGGAGGGGGAAGTGGGCAGAACAGTTCCTTCCAGCCGTTTCAGAGGAGATAAGTGAACTTACACCATGGCGATAGTAGAATAAATATATAGATACAACTTATAAAAGGCTAGAAAGCCGGAGTTTCCAGGGGCTTCAAAGAGGGCTCTAGGCGCCCCCTGGCCCCAGCCTACGGCTCAAGACTTCCTTATTTTTGCAGTTGTTCCCCTCACACTTTCAAACACGGATCGATGCCCTTGGGCAGCCCTATGTTCCCATTTTATAAAATGTTTAGACGTCAATGGGTGGCTGCCCATTACATAATTTGAGTTAACAATATTGTGCTTCGTGATTGAATAAAAATGACATTTCTATCCAATCCGTTTAGCCAGTGGCGTACCTAGAAGTCTTGAAATGAGGGGGGGGGGCGAAGGTGAAGTGGGTAGGGGATCGATGATCAGTTGAGGGGCGCTAATTCGCAAAATAAGGTGATTTTAGGTGATTTTTATCTACTTGACCGTGATTTTTTTGGGGGCGAATGGGCGGGGGGGGGGGGGACGAGTAATTTTTTTGGGGCGTGCCCCACCCCCGTAGATACACCACTGCGGTTAGCTTCCTTTGTTTCGATTTGTACTCGCCTGCTGTGACATAAATGTACTAGAGGGTAACTTCATTATCCTGCTTATAAACTATTAAATATTTACAAATAGGCAAGCTTTATATGTAAGATCTTGGTGATGAGAAAACTATATTCTATTCATATATACTTTAATATATATGAATAATTAGACAAATAAGAAATAACATTCCTCAGAAGGTGTCTACTTTGGAGCATAGATTTTATAAACAAAAACAAAAATCCGGAAGTACCTGCTCCCCTCTTCAGTGCAACTGAAGTACTGCAATAGGCTTATATATCATATTATGTTACACTAATAAACGATAAACCAGCTAGTGGTAATGCTATAATTATATACAAATTTTGATTAATTATTAACAATATTGAAACAGAAGGGAAGGCTGACAAAGAAAAGAAAACTCATTCTCCACATCCGTAAGAAAAAACAATGAAAGACACTTACAGAAAATTCAAATTTTTTAACCCTGCAAACGTGTTGGGTTGGATCTCTTCGATAAAACTTCTCAGCATTTTGCTATTTGGTCGTTGAGAGAAGAAAAGAAATTAATTCAATCTAGCGAAAATATATCATTATCTCTTAGTTTCGTTTTGTCTTTTGCTTGCCAATGCAGTACTTTTTTAATTGAAAATATACCGGTACTGTGTATATAAGATACTTACATACGATAAAGATTCAAATTGTCTTTGAATGTTGTGTTCTTAATCACTTTTACTCTTGCATGATTCATTTCCCTGAAAAGAAGAATGTTTAAATATTCAAGACAATGACGTTTGCTATTAAAAAAAAAGCATCTACATAATTAACGATAGGCCTGTTTACTGTAGTGAAAACGGCTCAAATTGGGCAAGATAACTGAAATACATTTGTGTAGCATTACTGGTAAGGCTTGGCACCAGCAGTGATTTTGTCAACGGATTCCGTCAATGACGGCCATGTACTGCCACAGTAGGCCTTAACAGTAACACCCTTTATTAGATTTAATACTTCCCATATGCCTTCCTAGCGCAGTATATTTTGACAGTAGGTTGATTAATCACTAGCAGTATTATCAAAATGAACTTACTAAAGAGCTAAAGAGCCTATTTATACTGTCTCTGGTTTTCAAGTTTATATCTACATTTTACAAGCTTTGGTATTGGGAGGATATTTTTTTAACTGAAATTTTAATTAACATATTGAAAATTAACAAACACTTGAAAAAGCGAAGTTAGGCCATCAAAAGCTCCATCAATGGATTGGATATTGTTGTAACTGGCATATCTGTAAAGAATGATTGAAAATCAAATAAGGTTACTACACTACATTTATGTTGTATTTTAATGAAGAGAAACAAACTGTATGTTGTATTTTTATGAAGAGAAACTCAGATAAACGTGATCCACATAAAAAACATACATTGGCCTGCAATACAATAGTTTTCTGCAATGCCATAGTAGGCCAATTAAACAATGTTTTAAACTAAACTACTAAACGATATTGTAAGGAGAGAGAATACGATACTGACATACTTACATGTTAATTATCTCTTTTGGAAACTTAGGTAAAGTTGTCATCTTGTTAGCGTCTAGTACTCTAAACAAAAGAAACTTTCTTTGAAGTTAATAATATATCATAGTGGCAAAAAAAAATCAGAAAAAAAGCCAGTGGAAAAATGCATACAGTAGAAATAAACACCACAATAGTTTAATAGAATAAACCACCTTATAATAGGTGTATTGTGGCATAGAGAAGAGCTATCGTACATCAATTTAACGTAATTAGGTTGTACTTATTAAGTAAATACAACCTCATTTACTGACTTATAAGGATGTATTTATTTAAGTAAATGTACAATATTATATTTAAATACAAACTAATAAATAATTTAATTAGGTTATATTTAATAAATTATAATTAATTTTATGTAAACTTACTGCGAACTTTTGTCTATGTTAAATATGTTGTTATGTTGTTATTTTGTGATGTTAGTTCTACAATCATTATATATTCGGATATTTCATTTGACAGAGTAGAACCTAATAAGATCTGTTAATTAGGCTGTACAGTTATTTTTGCAAAAGACACCATTATGAAATGTTTTGTTACATTGTTGTGGTGTGTATTCCAACTGGCATTTTTTTTTCTACTGGCATATTTTCCTAAGCCCTAACACATACTGTATTCATTTTACATACACCAAGTTAAGGTCACGGACTTAGGCAAGTTTTCGATATTCGTTACCATCGAGGAGTTAATCAGTGTGAAAAATTTGCATGGTAAGAAAGTGGTCAAAAACAACATTTTGGCTAAGTTCACCATACTTCTGAGCCATGTCAGACTCATATCTGATCAGTTTGACTAAAACAAAAATATTCAGGGCCAACAGCCGGATTGGTTGAAGCACACAAGGCACGGATGGAAGCAATCTTCCTCCATCCGAGCGGCGGAGCTATATCATTATAATCAATTGCGCCGCCAATAGATCGATGTGATTGGTTTGAATAACACTCTCGTTCGGGTAGTTGCAAAATACAACCGCTTCACCCGAGGGGGCGTGGCTTCTTATGGTGACGTCATGCATACTTTCAGCTGTACTATGTCTTCATTCCTAATAATCTCGACAAAGAGTGGGCCCTGGTAATCACACAGCATAGCAAAATACAGTACAATACAACCAAAAAGAAAAAAAAAACTAGAGATAAGATGTTCAATAGAACATGAACCCAGTCATTATTTAAGAGATACCGTACCCACTGTGACTTTTAACCTCAACCTGTGAACACCCTATGTTTGGTAGGAATCTGTCTAATGCAACTGGTCCAATTGTTAGTCACTAGCAATATTTGATAATTTACACTATAGTGAACCTTGTGAATTTTTACCTATAGATGAAGAGTAGTTTTTCATATTTAGAAGGCCTTAATGATCATTCCTGGTAAATTCGAGCTCAGTTGGACTATTTTGAAAATCTGACCCCGATGACCCATATGTAACCACTGATGACAGACAGGGGTGTAGGAGGTGTCACTGGTTCTTAATGATCAACATTGATTGAATTTGGTTCAATCGTTTGCCATTAGTAACATTTTGAACATTTGACCTATGAACTTTGACATATGGGGTGAAGAGTATTTTTTTCGTGTTTAGAAGGTCCTAAAGATCATTCCTGGTAAATGTGAGCTCAATTGGGCTATATTGAAAATTTAACCCCATGATCCCTATGTGACCCCTGATCCCAGACTGGGGTGTAGGAGGGTGTCACCGGTTCTTAATGACGAAATTTGATTGAATTTTGTCCAATGGTTTGCCATTAGTAGCGTTTTGATATGTTACTAGAGAGAACAAAAGAATAACCCTTTAATGACCTTTGACCATAAATCGCTGAACACCATAAAGACCCTACCTTATGCCAATACATAATGTACCTAGGACAAGACTATGCTATGTTATTTCTGACAGAAGTCTTTTATTCATTTTTTGAAAGTTTTTACCCTAACGACCCCTATGTGACATTTGACCCCCAGCAACGAACACCCCCATGTATGAGAGGTGTCACCGATTATACTGACCAGGTTTGGTTGAAATCGGTACAACCGTTTGGCACTAGTAGCGTTTTGAAATGTTGCCAGAAAAAAGATAAAAATTACCCCTTAATGACCTTTGACCCCTTATCCCTGAACACCCTATAGACTCTGCCTTATGCCAATGTATATGTGCAAAGGACAAGACTGTGCTACGTTATTTTTGAGACAAGTTGTCTTTTATACGATTCTTGGTTTTTTGACCCTAATGCCCCTTATGTGACCTTTGACCTCAAGTTGTGAACAACACATAAAATATATATATATATATATATATAAAATATTGAAGGAAATTAGCCGTTAACACTGCTGAATAAATATAATATAAATCATCAAAGGTACATATACCGTGTTTAATAAGGACATGATGGAACATGGTAGGCTACCCTGTAGCTTTTGAACGAATAAAGTCCTATAAAAGTCATTGTGTAATAAAATTCCTCCGACGGGATTCGAACCTGCGACCTTTCGCTGACAAGGCGAGCGTCATAACCACTAGACCACGAAGGCTTCAAGGTTGAACAGGTCCAAATAACCGTCGAGAACATTGTATTACACAATAGTGCGCCTCAAGTGGGCGTTCGGCCAGATAAATTATCCGGAAACGGCTAGAAATAAATACTGTCGTATATTGTATATGATATTGAAGGGAGTTAGCCGTTAACACTGCTGAATAAATATAATATAAATCATCAAAGGTACATATACAGTGTTTAATAAGGACATGACGGAACATCGTAGGCTACCCTGTAGCTTTTCAACGAATAAAGTTCTATAAATTCATTGTGTAATAAAATGCCTCCGACGGGATTCGAACCTGCGACCTCTCGCTGA